TTCAAGGAGCAGATGATCTGCTAAATATAGGCGCTGCCAACGCTGCCGAGGCCACGGCTACGCTGGCCGCGTCGGCCCGCGCCGCGCAGGAGGCCGCTGGCGCCCTCGAGCTGAAGGCGGCCGCCGCCGAGGGCGAGACCGGCCGGCGGTTCGCGGCGCCGGAGATTCAGCTGCGCGCGCCGCAGCCCAGCGGCATTGCAGGCGACGACGACAACGGCGGCATTTCCAATGGCCTTTCGAACAGTGGTATGGGCGATTTCCCTCCGAGCAGTGGGATGGGCGATGCTTCCGGCGGCCGTCGCAGCAGCAACAGCGAGACCGCCGAGAGATGCCAGACTTTCAGAGCTGGCTACAGCTCAGGCGTCGGCGTCATCGGCGGCGCCCACCTCGGTTTCCCCTCTTTCGAGCCCCAGTGAACACGGCCGCAAACACGTTGGTCTCAAGTGCCGCCCCGCTGCAAATGCCAATGTCGGCGACGCCCCCGACCGCGCCAAGATCTGGCTTCGCGACTTCCCGCGCAAGCTGCTCAAGATCGCGCCCGATCTACAGTTCCAGGAGATCAATGCAGCTGCGCCCGCCCCCCACCGCAGCAATTGCGAGGTTTGGGCTCGCGGCGCGGGAGTCACGCGCGCGAGCCATGTCGGGAATGGGCGCGAGATTCGCGCGCAGCCTCCTCGGCGGCGAGACGCGCGCGCCAATGTTGCCCATGTTCTTCGCATAGGCCGCGCAGTGCCGATCGACGCCCGCAAATCAAGTTTCGCCGCGGGCAAGTTCTGGACCATCTGCAAGAAAGCGTTTGGCTGAATCATGAGAGCCCGAGGCGAAGATCGGCTGCGACCCGTAGCAGGGGATCTGCATCTTAATCTTCGAGGTCGAGCCCTGCGAGATGATCTCGCGCGCTGGTTCCCCCATCGGGCACCTTCTCCTTCGAGCCGCAGTTCGACGCGCTTTGTGGGTTCGGCGCTCCGGTGAATATAGCCGAGCCCATGCCGAGGCTCATCCAGGAGCTGCTCGATCAGTCCTCGCGATGGTCTTCCTGGCAAGACGCCCGACTCGGCTGACTTCCCGAATTCAGCCGGCGTTGCATCTTCAGCGGATGAAGATGTGAGCGTCCTCAATCCCGATTCCAGTGGGCAGGCTGTTTCTCCTCGTCTGAAGCCTAGGCGGCTGCGTGACACTCGGAAGCGTCGGAGGCTTTCGTCCTCGTCCCCCATCCTCGCCCTCCTCTTCCCCCTCTGACCCTTTGCCTGTCCAGTTGGAATGCCAGAGGCCGTTTCTTCTCCTGGCGAGCATGTAGATATTCCGGAACGTTCTTCGGGGCCGTGGCAGTCTCTATCGACATTGCGATTGATGTTCTTGCAGGGAGCTCACGGTGCCGACGCAGATCTACCGAGTCGATCGCGGTCCCCCAAACTTGCAGCATGCCGGTTTTTTTGTACTCGCGCGCGCTGGTGGCGGGGCCATCTCTGCGCACCTCTCCCTGGCCAGTCTTTATCATTTCCAGCCTCATTAGCTCGTCATTGACCAGGATCGCGCGCATTCTCCATCACCTCCCATGTCAACGTTGGTAGCATACCAGTTACTAGCGTTCTTGTAGGGCTTCAACGCCGCCACGATCTCAACGTGGAATTTCCGCAGAAAATCTGTCGGTGCCTCGGTCTTCGTCGAGGGCGATGAGGAATCCCTTGGGTTGTTTTGGCGAGCAAAGGTCCCCCTGGTTCCGGATGGCGATGCCCCCTGGATTTTTGCGGCTCCCAGGCTGGGTGATTCATCCGGACGTATGTTTCTTCGTTGTGTTGAAGTAGATCAGCATGACTATATTCGTAGGTTTTTCGCGTTGGCCGTCTTGATATATAGTGCACCTATCTCGCTAGTGCGGTTAGTTTGGGCCTTTCGCCTCGTAGCCTCGCCGTGGGTTTGGTCAGCGATCGGCGCGGACAGTCTGGTCGTGTTCCTGTCGTTTTCCAGCTCACCCCCGACAAACGACAAACCTGTCGTTTAGAAGTGGCCCGAGTGGGTGGTCCTCCACTCTGAGTTCCAGGACCTGCCTGGTGAAGTCGCTCACGGGGCCGGGCTTTCGGACGACGCTCAAGAGCGGGCTGTTGAGATCAAGGAATGAACGTTTGCCGCTAAAGATCGTTGAGTGGTTCGCATCTTTCGTCAGAACGTCGCGACATGTCCGAGGTTGGTTCGCGCGAGGCGCCCAGCAACTTCATCGCGCCCTTTGTGCGCAGGTGCATCCATTCCTTGCCGCTGCTGAATCAGTATTTCGTCGTCTCCTGTTTGCGTTTCTCTGGCCATGCAGGGTTTCACGCGTCTACAAGACGTGTCCAGCGATATTCTCCACGCTGAAATCAGCCTTTGCGACGGATCGCGCCCCGCTCGTCCGCATGACCTTTTCACGTGTTGTTCTTCTTCTCTGACATGCCACGTCGTGCCCTCGCCCGCGCGCCAGGCGTGCCCTGATGGTTTTGTTTCTGGCTCGCCTGCCCAGAGTGCTCAGAACCTTTCGCGTCATTGGAGGGAAGTTCACGCGGGCGGAAGTTCACGCGGGCGGTCCCCGTATGACCAATTGTGATCATGCCAGAGATTGGCTTTGTCGGGAAGTTCAACAGGGGCCCCGGGGAATCGCATGGCGTCTCGCGAAGCACGGGTTCACTTGTCTGCTGCAGGCCAAGTGCCAAGACCGATTCTGCTTCTGGTCCGGACGGCGTTGCGCGGAAAACCAGGGGCGAGTTTTGCCGCGGTTGTTTGTTTCATCTCTATTCCCCGAAGTGCGATTGCCAAGATGCGAATAAAAGGTTGCAACCACGCTTCCACCGCCCGCCGCTTTTTCATGTCCGAGGACGGTGGGGGAGTCGGCGATGTTGGTGGCTATGAAATATCTCGGCCTGGTGATGCGATTCGCCACATTGCCCTGTCCAACTGCGATCAGGAGATCCTTGTCGGTCTCCTCCGCTCAGGACGCTCTCGCCAAGAAACGGAATATGAACTATCCTTCTCTGAGGGTGTAATCTCTGTTGTTCGACCATTTTTTGCTCAGAGGTCTCAATAAGCAGGTTAGTTCGTGCTGTTATTGCCGCTGCCTCCCCGTCGTTGAACCACGGCTGGGCTTTTGACTGTCCATCTCGACTGGGCGCGTTTCGCTTCCCCCCGCGCGCCATCAGCGCGCTCTACAAGGACGTGGTCACTGAGGTTGTTCTTCGAGGGCAGGTTTTTTTTTCCAGCGGCTTCGAAATTCTTCATGTGGTTCAGCAAGGGTGCCCATTGAGCGGGGCGGTCTTCGCGCTCTGCTTCGACCCCGTCGCTCGCTGCCCCGAAAGAGCCCTCCGACCTCGCCCTGCCAGGCCCGTTGCATTCGCTGGCGATCTTGGCGTCGTCTCTGTCAATTTGCTGGTGTCCATGCCGATCGTGCTTCGGCTGATGATCTTTGCCGCGGACATGGACATCTCGGGGCTGTGGCTCATTCGCTTCTTTCCATGAGGTCGGTCTGGGCGCCTCCCCGTTTCAGATTTGCTCGAACGGTCGGTATCTTGGCACGCGTCTGGGACCTGGTGGTCCGCTGGCTAGCTGGGGCAATCCTTCGGGGAAGTTCAAGAATTGTCTATGCTACATCCGCGGGCTTTCGTTGGCGTTTACGCAAATGCTCCTCAAGTTCCACTTGCTGTGCTCCGCGCAGAGCACGACGCTCATCAATTTCGTCAGAACTGGGCTTCGCTGGGCGATCCCTGCTCCCATTTTGGCCAACTGCGACCGCGTCGGCCTTCCCGTGAAGCCAAGGTCGATCGAGATGGACAAACGGGGCTGCCATGTATCGCGCATGTTTTCGTTCCGACGCCTTCTGGTCGGAGCCAGCCATCTCTGGCGCGAGCCCTGTGCCTCTCAACTGTATCGCCTTGTGGTCCCCCTGGAGGCCAAGTGGGTTCAGGAGTACATCACTGGCTCCTGATGTATGATGTTCGAGAAGCATTAATATCCCGTCCGACCCCAAAATTGTTCAGGTACATAAAAAATCACGAAGGTGCCGCATCACACTACGAGTCCGACACGCACGTTGGTTTAGCATTGTTCCCTAGGCTCCGCAAGTTGTGGCCTCTTGCAAATCAAACCCGTATCCGGCCGTGTTGTTGGTTTTCCAAGGGCGGCCGCCCCCGTCTGCCTTTTTGCTTGCGTTGCGTATCTACGCTCTCGTTGTAACGGCTGGTGCACCTCCGCCATATTCAACCAGGGTCTGTGAATTGGCCGATTTGGATGTTCAGCGATGGGAGGTGACCATGCTTTCCACTACTTCTCCTGCCTTGCCGTCCTCCGTTGTCTCCCGTCTATTGTGCCTTCTTTGCCCGAAGACTATGCCGCATGGTCGCCTCAAGGTGGACTGACTCTGTGTGTTTGCCCATTCCCCTGAGCGATGCCGAGCGTAAGTCTGCCCTCCTCGTGCATGACCTTATGACTGCGTCTTTGAATGATCAGCGTGCCCACAAGCGAGGGGGGGAAAGGCAGTTTAACGCGTTGTTCGCGGCCTGGGCCCGTGCCATCGCTAAGAAAAGAAAGGGCGTTTTGGTGTTCCTTTCCAGGCACTACCTCCAGGTGGCGAGATAATCATCATCCTCGTTGTCAGTATCATGACCATCATTATCCTCAACCTCCTCATCGTCGTTTTTATCGCCGTCATCATTTTCCTCATCAACCTCATCACCATGTTCAGTATTTACATCATCATCATCATTGTCATCATCGTCATCACCATCATCATCATCATCAGCATCATCGTCATCGTCATCGTCATCCGCATCAGCGTCGTTATCGTCGTCCTAATTCATCGGTAACATCACAATCCTCATCGCCATCATACGAAAGGAGTAGGGTAGGAGGAGGATGGTAAGGTGAGGAGGAATCGGCGCGGTTAGTTGGAGTCATAACAAAAACACATTCTCTAGTATGTGAGGAATAAGCCAACACGTCGTCGTTATTCCCTCCTGCGCGATGCCTCCAGATCCAAGGACCTGAGCGGCATCCAGATTTTGGCGCTGGACGACGCCGAGGAGACGATACGGCTGGGTTTCATGGACGAGGTGTGCGAGGTGTGCACGATCCTGCGCCACTTCTCCCGGCAGAGGCTGCGTCACGTGGTGCTTTCCGAGGTGCTGACCCACGAGGCCAAGTCGATGGTCCGCTGCCTGCGGAACTCGAGCACGAAAGATCCACACCAGCATAGATTGTCGCAGGTCCGCGCGGATCTTTGGATCGACGCTGGACTTCCCCCCTGGCACGCGCACCGCGCCAGGGGCGGCGGCCGGAGGTGCCAGTAGGAGGGACCAGCGCCGATCCTCGAGATCCGCGCGGAGCTCCGAAGGTTCATAACTGTGCCAGTTTACTGTTTCCAGGAACTCCCTGTTGCGCCAGCAGAACCTTTTCGGCATCAGGGCGCACCTGACGCAGGCGCGCGCACGCAGCGTGAACCACTACTACGCCGTCGCGCCCCGCGCCCGGTGGCTCGGGTGCCGGCAGGGGTGGTCTTGGCTCGGGGTGTCCCAAGAGCTGCATGAAATGTGTGTCGGACGAAATGTTGGGGATCCGTTTTCGATGGTCCCGTGGAAACCGTTTTTTGTATCTCCTGGCGATAGCCAGCGTGATTGGGGGAGGGGAGGGCCAGTCACGTCACAATTCGCGCCGGCGCCGTCTGGCAATGCCTAAGAGTGGCCAGTTCCCACACGGCGCCAGCGCGAATCGTGACGTGACCAGGGGGCGCCAGGGGGGAAGGGGAGGGGGGGAGCGGGGCGGGTCACGGGCGTTATGTCGTTTTTTGTTTTCAAAGCTCGCTTCGAAATTCTGGTCAGAATGCTCCCCAGGAGATGTCTGGAGAGCACGTAGCGGTATCGGTACCTTGTCGCCCCCCCTAGACGATAGCCCCCAGATTCCGAAACTCAAACAAAACTCGGATGTGCAGCAGTCGATCCGCCCGAAGTCCAGGAGGTGAGGCCCGGGCGAGGCGGGTGGGTGGTGCATGGGTGCCTTCAGGGGCAAACGCTCGGAGCGGACTGTCTCAGGGGGCGACGCATCGACCTCCAGTGGCCCAAAGGCCCATTGATCTGCCCAGGAACGCGCGGATTCGCTATCGGGGGCCTATCGCCCGCCGATCTGTCGGGGATGCACCGCAGATTCCTGCACGATGTTTCCCCCCCGGAGCCAGTCCCCCGCCAAGGTTCCCCCTCATGCCTCCTGTGCATCTCGGGTCCGACGCAGGGAGGGTAGTGGAACAGGGGGCAGTACGAACATTGCTGCGTGCCTTTGGTCTTGGCGCCTCCGCCAGGTGCTTTCCTCGATGCATGGTTGTTTGCTAGATTTCCAGGCTTGCTTGCTGTCCCGTGCGGCGCTACGAAACTCCAGAATTCCGAGAACGTTTTCTGATCGTATCGCCAAATGTTTGGCCGAAGTCTTGCCAAGTTGTTGAACCATGTGTTTTCGAGGATCCTGAGACCTTTCGTCGGCCCTCCTTACACCAACTGCATCGTGTTGACGAGCTTCGTTGGACAAGCACACGTTGGCTCTGACACGCGTTTTGAGTATCATCGAGTGTTCCCCCCAGCTATTGTGGAAACCCTCTGGGGGACATTTGGGGGAGGAAGAGAGAAGCCCATCTCGCCATCGTGCCTAAGTCGTCGGTCGGAGGCGTGCTGAATGCCTCTGGGGGTCTCTTGGGATGCCTCGCGGAGGCCTCTTCGGGGGCCTCTTTGGGGGGCTTCTTGGGGCCTCTTTGCGGCTTCTTGGGGCACTCTTGGGTCGTCTTGGGAGCCTCTCAGGGGGCTCCCTCGGGGCACCCGAGCACACTCCGCTCAGCGCCTGCTGCACGGTGGCGGACTCATAAGAGAAATGAGCAAGAGGTTGAGGGTTGCCACACATTCCAGGACTCCTGGAGCGCATTCTGAGCCAATCGCACGATGACAGCGTTTTGTCCTGAGCCAGTCGCTTCATTGCTCGTTGCATCACGTCCGACCTCGAACCAGACCTCTGAGTCGGTTTTGGAGGTCACCGCGGTGATCACGGCGGCCGCAAATCGTGGCAAGGTCTTTGTCAAGGAGTGACATGCCCCTTGCCAGCCCCCCCACCCGCTCTGCGATGCAGCCGAAGCTCACGATGAACAATGTAGCTTCGGAGAGTTGCCAATTTCTGTCCAACATTGGCTTTCATATTCTTCTCGGTTGACGTACAAGGTCTGCATGGTATGAGCGTGCTCCGCTGCCCTCGGCGTCCTCCTCTCGCGCTCCTTCGTTCTCCCCTTCTGCCCAACTGGGCTCCCATGTGTCTGTCGGCTGTTCCGACCGCGTCTGGGACCCACACCGCCGCTGACAAAACAAGAAGCTATCCTTGGCCAGGGGACGACTTCCACGCAACCGATGATGTCGTTCTCGTCCCAGCCCGAGGTGGCCCGTAGCCCTGGCGGCGCTGCACCACACGCTGGCGCTACCCAGCGGCATCATCTTCGACGACGAGTCGCCCGAGGACGGGGCGCCCCCACCTCGGGCCCGGGGCCCGCGCCGGGGGCACGGCGGCGCCTCCGGCCCTCGCCCGCTTGCGGGCCCTCGCGGCGTCGAGCAGTGCCAGTGTTCGCGCCCGATGGGCGCTTGATCGCCATGCACGAAGCGGGTCCTGAGGGAAACGGATTTTGAGCTTGTTTCTGAAGTTGTTGGCCCCCCGGGGCCTTCCACGGGCCAGAGAACGCCCGCAGGATGCGAGGGAGCTTGCTCCATTTTCTGATTCACCTGCTCCACCTCCTCCTTTCTCGTCTCCTCCCCCTCCTCCTCCTTCTCCTCCTTCTCCTCCTCCTCCTCCTCCTCCTCTTCCTCTTCCTCCTCCTCCTCCTCATCTTCATCCTCATCCTCATCCTCATCCTCCTCACCCCGTCGTCGTCCATCTCCTCCCCCTCCTCCTCTCCTTCCCCCCCTCGCTCGCCAGGTCCTTCCCTCAAGCCCTGAAGCTCTTGAACACCTAAACCCTTAAATCCTTGAACACTGAAGCCTTCGAACCCTTAAACCCTTCTTTGAAGTGTCAAACCCTCAAGCCCTGAAGCCATTAGGCCGCTACGCCCTTGCATCCGTAAGCCCATAATGCCCTTCAACCTTTAAATCCTTAAGCCCGTACGCCCTTCTCAACACTCACCCCCTCAAAGCCTGAAACTTGCAAGCCCTCAAACTCTTTAATTGTTTAAGCCTTTCAGTTTGTTAGCCCGTTGCACCGTTAAGTTCTACAAGCACTAAGCCGTTATACCGAAACATTGTTATGATGTTAAATGTTGGGCCCTCTCAGCGTTAAAACCCTTAAACTCCCACACCCTAGAAACTCTTTGGCCTCTTTGCCTTTGAACCCTAAGGCCATTATGCTTTGAAACATCTGAACTTTGACATCCGCCCTTATGCCCTCAAGCTCCTGAACCCCGTTGCCCTTAGAATTTTATATAGATTGAAATCCTCGAACGATTCAATCCTTGAGCCCATGAGCCCTCAAGTCCTTGACTTCGTAAGCCCTTGAACCTTTAAGCCCTTGCAGTAACGTCCCCGGGCAAACCTGGTACACGTTTGGGCAAGCACGGTAGCTTCTGGGATTCATTTACACGCGTAAGCAGATTATTTGGTTTTGGGATGCGCGAAGATTGCTTCGCCATGAATCATACAGTGAGGTTACTTGGCCGGTTGGAATTAGTATTGGTATGTCTTTCCAAGATGGTTGGAACAAATACCATTTGACTGGGATTACTCCTGCTCGTTTGGAATTCGTCCTGGATGCGCCTGCGCCCCCCCCCCATCCTGTGCTCCCACGAATTTCTGGCGAGCGCAACGCACTCCTGGCCCGACGAGCCCGACCCCGCCCCAGCGTTCCCGTCGCCTGCCCTCCCCTCTCCGTTACTGCTTACATTTGGCACGCGGGTCAGGAAGAGCTTTTGTTCTGGAGGCGTACCTCCATGTTCTTCGTGCCTGGGCCAACGGCATTCATTCTGGGGAATCTCCATGGGACTCCTCTCCCTCGGCGAAGGGGCTCACGTTCTTGATCCGAGCTCTTGAGGCCACGCTTCGACTGTAGCCCTCCATCTCGGCGCACCCGTCTGTGGCAATTCACCGGAGCCGCCCGTACCATCTTGTTTTTGGCTCTTGCGAGTCGACGCAACTCGACCTTGATCGACGCTGAATCGGCGCTATCTCATCGGTTGCCAAATTCTAATTGGGGCGAGTGCGTTCTGGAGACGGAAGTACGAGGGTACACGCGGCTCCCATGATTCGCTACCGAAGCATCCCGAGAGAGACGGGGGTAGGCCGCCGCTGCTGCCCGCAGGAGCGCGCCAGCGCCTGTGCGGCGCTGCGGGGGCAGGCGATCACGGCCTCCGTGTGGAACGCGCTGCAGGAGCCGCGGCCGTGGTGCTCGTCGTCGTCGTCGGCAACGACGACGTCGACGACGGCGACGAGGGGGAGAACTTTGGAGTGTCGCGCCCGAGGGGGTAAGCTTGGGGGTTTCGCTCCCGAGGCTCCGTGGCTCTCGGTGGTTTTCCTGCCCCGGGCTGCGCCTCGCCGACAGCATTCTGGGGATACCCAGATCGTCCCGCACGGCCGCCGCAGACCCGACTTACGACCAGAAATCTAAGCCGTGCTCGTTCGGAGGCGCGCGGAGGGGGGAAGTGAGAGCGCGTTGGCCTTTTGACAAGACGGCGGGGCTTCTCAGGAACGTTCTGTCCTTCTGAGAAACCGTCGGTTCTTCGGAGAAGGTCCAGAATAAGGTTCTCGAAAGGCTTGGGGCCCTCGGCGCCTGCTGAAAAGGCTCGTGCCCTCTGCCTTGCCCTCTGGGCGCGCCGCCAAGGAAAGGAGCCCTAGGTTTTCCATTGTTGTCGGGCTGCCATGATCCTCCCCAAGGTACCCCAGGACGTCCCGAAACGATTCAGGACAAGACAACACCGTCGACGACTACGAGTTCTTCGTTCCGGTGGTACTCTGGCGTTTCTTGGGGTCTGAGTCTTCACGGCTGGAGATCGTTGTCGTCGTCGGCGACGATGAACTACGATGTCTACAACTGCTCCGACGAGTGGGTTGTGCAGGTATTCGGGTGTTTCTGAAGGTTCTTCGCCGACACGGCTGGCCGCAGCACGAACAAGTAGCCATGGTGGACCTAGGAAGGATTTGGGGACCGATTTTGAGCGGAGTTGGGCTTCATCGTCATTGACGTTCTCGTCGTCTTCGTCTTTGTGCATGTCGCGGGACGCGCACTGGGTCTCTATCCACTCACGGGCGGAGGGAGAGTGGCTGATTACGAAAGTATCTCGAAGTGGAATTCGTGACGCTTCGCGTAAACTTTCCCATCCTTTGAGTCCTTGTGAGTGAGGCCTCCACCCGTTCCCCCCTCTCCTGCCCCTGCTGCTTTCTCGCTCGTGGCCTCCTCTTCGTGTTGGTCAGCGCGGCCACCCTGGCCCCTCTGTGCCGACAATGCGCGGCGTGTTCCACGCTTGCGCACGCCGGTCGGCTCGGTCTGAGCTGGCGCCACTGTGCGTCTGCTCCCGCCGTCCGCTTTCTAGTTCGTCGCCTGCGCTCCCCCCTCGGGTCGCCTGCGTCGTAATGAGGGTAATTTTGTCCCTGGCATGTGCACCCGCTGCCGAGGCCTACGGGCCCCAGCAGCTAATTTTCTCGCCTTGCGCCCCTGTCGAGTCCATACCGCTCCTTGGAGTTGTCCTTGCGAGCCGCCGAACAAAAAAGTGAACTTTCCCATTTGTTCCGTTGCCCCGGGCATCGCTGTTGCCGCCAGACCGTTGTCGAGCGGCCGCCGACCAAACAAGTAAACTTTCCCATGTTGGGAATGGCGGATTCGGCGGATAAGGCCGCCCCGCGGTGGCCCTCGGCGTACATCAAGCGGTGCTGCCGTGCAGTTCCACCCTGGGCGCCCCATCTTGCTGGCGATGTTCTTCCCCGCCAGCTTGGCCTCACGCAGCGCTTCAGCCGGCGCCCGCGCAGCCGTAATTGGATGGCCCCCTGCAGGATCGGTGGCTACTCATGTTGCGCGGGTTGGCGGCCCCTGGAGGTCAGCCCGCTTCGAGCGGCTCAGCCTTCGCAGCCTCGGCCGCCCTCCAGGCCCGTCCCACCCCCGGTTTGGTATTCGTCGTTCCTCGGCGGAGCAGCACAGCTGGCTCGCACTCGCCGTTGGCGCGGCTTGGGCTTGGCGCCCCGCTGGCGACGGCCCATCGCTTACCACGTCTGGGCACTCCTAACACAGAATTCCCTTGCATTTTGCTCAGGGCTGCACGTTGCTCGAGCTTCCCTGGGCGTTCCAGTTCAGCCAGCCAGCCCCCGCCCAGCTGCCCCAGCCGCTGCCTTGTGAGCTGGCCTGGCCAGCCTGTGCTGCGCCCAGTCGCTAATTAGGCTTGCCCGTCGGCCCGGACATCCTGTTCGCCGCCTGCGCTCTTCGCTCGCGGCCGCGACCCCAAAAAATAACTTTCCCACCGTCATCCACGGGCCCACGCAGACGCGATTCCCATGCGAGCTGTCTCAGGGTGAAGTGTGGGAGGACCAGGAGGAGGAGGAAAAAGAGGAGGAGGAGGAATCTTCGTTTTGGGTTGGACGGTAAGGTTGTCTTGGAGGAGGAGAAGCGGGAAGAGGAGAAGGAGGAGGAACAGGACGAGGAGGAGGAAGAGGATGAAGTGGACGACGACGACGAGAAGTAAGGAAATAATAAACACATGATGGGACAGGCTCACAGGAGGGCAGCGTGGAGCCGAGATCACACGTCCATCGCCGAGAGGGGCGTGGGTGCTTCATATTTCGTTCACCTTGTCCAGGATTTGTGTCCAGTGGCGATGCGCCGACGACTCCAGCGCGATGCCGACGCCCTTTTTCTCATCACCATGTTTGCCTGTCCTGTTGATATTTGAGTGTCCTCATTTTTGCGTGGCTTAGACTTGCTCCCCTGAGCTTCTGCCCCCCCCCCTCCGGAGGTCGTTCCTAGCGCGCGTCGCGTTGCAGGCGCATTTCTGCACGAAACCCAGTCCGATTGTGGCGGCACACGTCGGCCTGCCGGCTAGGGCCGATGCCGAGTAGCGGAAGCATGCGCAGCAGGAACCCGTGTTGAATTGCCACGGAACGCAGAGTCCGTCGGTGTTGAATTGCACGTAAAGTTTATGCACTTATTTCTCCCCTCGGTGTCAGAAGAGTGACCTCCCCTGGTCCCCCTCCCTCCTCGTCGTCCGCCTCTCCCCCTTGTCGCAGGCGAACCTGGGGGTGAGATGAAATGAGGCGCCTTTCGCAGAAGGCTCGGAAGGCCTCGGGCCTTTTGAGAAGTTTTCTAGGCCTTCCCCGAAGGCAGACGACATTTCTCACAGAAGACCAGGGCCTTGTGAAACGCTCCGCCGCCTTCTGAGAAGGCCTTCTCCCTCTCACTTCCCCCCTCGGCGCATCTCACCGAGTCCAAACGACATCGGGCCGAGGCTGATCATACCGAGGCCCGCCCCGCCGACGACGCGCGCGCAGCCCGCCGCTGGCAGCGCAAGGCTTGGCCTCTAAATCCTGGTGCTGGCCGCGTGGGGCGCGTTTCGGCTCGGCCTGAGCGGGCCTTCAAGATCCGCCGTTCGGCTACGCGCAAGAGTGACCCTTCGCCAGAGTGACCTTTGGTGCGGGCCCACAGGGGTCCCCCAGCATTGGTTTGCGCGCAAAGATCTGGCCTCCCCGCGGCCCCCCGAAGCCTCTTACCAACGGTCACTCCTGCCTACGGGCACTCATGTGTGTAGCCGTCTCCATGAGATGATGAAAACGGGCCCACTGGGGCCAGCCCTTCTTCCCGAGTCGTTTTTGACGCTCTTGGGGCCCTTGCAGAGCCCCAAGGGGCTCGAAGACGGGGAAACAAGTCCGGGAGCCCTCTCTCCCAGGACCCGCTCCCTTCATGCCAAGAGACAGCACGCCGACAGGCCGTAATCTGCGTCCGCCGCCGCCTCGTCACCCTCGCCCTGGCTCCTCGGAGCCTCGGAGCCGTGGTCGCTCGAGTCCGTTGGGCGCCGCCCTCGTCAGCCTTCCCGGACAGGGTGTCCAGGGGCGCGCCCAGGCAAACGGTCAGACCGATGCTAAAGGGAAGGCGACGAAAACGAAGAGGCGGGGGATTGTGGACATACTGGGGGGTTCCCTCTTACCCCATCCTGGCCCTTCGTGGCCATGGGCCGCGGGCCTCAACCTCGGCTTCAACTTGAGTCTGCGACTACTTGTGCACCCTACCCCTACGGGTCCAACCGACGCTTGGGGCATCAGACACCCCCGTTGTGTTCACGTCGTTGCAGACATCCCTCAAATTCTGCACTGCACCCCGGCGGCTCTGTCAGATGCGGAACACATGCGGATCCCTATTGAGCGTCCAAGGGCCCAGCATCCCCATCGCACATCCCTATTCTCCCGTGGCGCTGTGCTGCTCCTCGCTGCCCCTCCGCACTCCCCATCCTGCAGGAGCAGGGGTCCGGCGCCCGCGCCGCCGCACGGGATGGCCGCGCCAGCGTGGCCCGCGGGCCGGCGTTCCACATCATGCCCTCGGACCGCAGGGGCGAATTTGTGTTCATAGTCTGTGTTAGCCAGCGTTGGCCCCAAAAAGTGTGTTCTAGCATACTACGCGGTTCAGCAATTAGTTGTGAATTGAAGAATTTGGAGTTGTCAACCCCATTGCTCGCGCAATCATCCCACCCTCCCACCCGCAACTTGGTTTGCAGAGCCCATGCGGCGGCGAGTGCGATGACTGCTTGGCCATGGTTTGCATATCTTTGCGGCCGCACTGGCGCGCGCAAGCTCGCGCGCAGAGCGGCCAGCTGGTTTGGCACAGGCGATGCGGCCGCGATGGCGCGTACCGATGGCAACGTCCCAGCGCGCGTCAAGGCCGCGTTGTAGCACGGGCAGATCAATGCGGGTCGGTGGCTCGGGCGGGCGCGGTATCATGGTGACGTTGGCAACAGCCGCAAACATGTTGATAGTAGCGATGGTGGTGGCGATGATGACGATGACGACGGCAAGGCCAATGATGGTGTGGATGTTGATAACGCCGATGACGATTATGATGTCCATGTGATGCTGAGTAGGACATTGGAAGGACTTTGACTTGCGCGCGCGGCTGGCGCTCGCGAGTGGCCCGCATGAAAGGTTTGCGTGGAGGTCGCGCGCGCAGATATGTGCTAAACGAGCATATATATACATATATATATACATATATATATACACATAGATATTCACATGTACATACATATCTCCCGGGGGACGTGGCCGGGGGGGTCCCGCCCAGGGACCTCGGCGGCGCATGGGGGGCCCGGGGCCTTACTTTCCTTTTTTTGTTTTTATAATGGTTTCGGCGACCCGGAGTCAACAGAGCCCCAAGAGGTTGCAGGGAGCTCCAGGGGTTGCTCCCGCCTGGTGCCGCAGGTCTCCCGCAGGCATCCCACAGGCCTCCATCAGACCTCCCCGAAGCTCAAACACTTGCTTTTCCCATAGTTGTATCCACGTTTTTCTCCATGCAGCCTGTTCTGCATCCCCACGCTGCACGGCAGCCCCAGAGGAGAGCTCCCCAACGCTCAAACATTTGGATTTCCGATCGTTTTTCCATGTTTTTCTCCATGCAGCCTGTTCTGCATCCCCACGCTGCACGGCAGCCCCTGAGGACGCCGAGGCGTCCGGGGCGGCGACCTCGACGGCGCATGGGGGGGCCGGGGCCTCTGGGGCCCCCTCGAGACAGCCCCTGGCAGCCCCGAAACGCCACCCGAAGGTCCCAGGCGGTTTCCAAACGACCAAGAGGGCCCATAATCCCCGAATTGTCGCTCCAAGACGCCGAAGATGGCTCCAAGACGGCCTCCGGGAGCTCCCACGACGGCCCAAGAGTCCCCCAAGAGGAATCCTGAGAGCGCCTCCAGAAGCAACAAATGCCCCATTCCCCTTGGAAGATGTAGAATTTTAGGATATTCGCATCTTCGGCGTCGACCGCGTCGACGACGACCCCAGGAGCCCACAACATCGCCCCAAGACGGCCAAAGAAAGTTCCAAGAGGCCTCCAAGACAGCTCCAGATGACGCCCTCGACTATCCAGGAGGCTCCCAAGACGGTCTCACGCCGTCGCCGTCGCAGCCGTTGTCGCCGTCGCCGTCGCCGTCGCGGACCAATCCATCGAGGATCGAGGTTCAAGGTTGTTTTTGAGTGCTTTCAGCCTCCAGGGGCCGTCCCTGGGCCCCAGGATTCCCGGAGTTTCTGGGAAACAACGGCACCGACCAGACCCCTGAAGGGGTCTAGGGACGGATCTGGAGCAGATGTTTATGTGTGACCGCCGAGGTCGTCGTCGGCGTCGGCGTCGTCGGCGTCGGTGCGTCGGGGCCCCGGGGGGGACCGCGGCCACATCCTGCCCTGACTCGGCCCAAGTGCGGGCGGGAGCAAGACAAGACAATTGAGGAGGAGGATGGAGAGGCGGAGGTGGAGGAGGTGGAGGCGCAGAGGAGGGACAGAGGAGGGATGAAGAGGAGGAGGAGGAGGAGGAGGAGGACAGCTCCAAACCAAATCACTGTGTGGACGTCGTCGACGTCGTCGTCGTAGTGGTGGCGGTCGTCGTCGTCGTCGTCGTGATCGTCGTCGTCATCGTTGTCGTCGCCTTCGTCGTCACTCGTCGCCGCCCCTGTCGTCGTCGACGTCGTCGACGAGCACGCGGACGAAAACGAGAGCAGCAAAACGTGGAGCAGCCGTGGCGCGTGCGAAGCGCGCTCGTACATGTATATGTAGATTCGTGTGCTTCTGTATATACATACGCACACGCATGTATTGCCATTGGTATGCGTGTAAGTAATTGTGCATGTATGTACGTATGTATGTATGTATATGTACATGTTTAGTACGTACGTATGCATGTATGTATGTACGTATGCATGCATGCATGCATGCATGCATGTATGTATGTATGTATGTATGTATGAATATATGCATGTATGTATGTATGTATGTATGTATGTATGTTTGTTTGTTTGTATGTATGTATGTATGTATGTATGTAGATATGTATGTACGTATGTATGTATGTATGTTTGTATGTATGTATGTATGTATGTATGTATGTATGTAATTGTGTACACATGTATGAGCAAACATAGCAAACCATGCGTCGTTTCATAAGTTTCCGAGACATTCGGTTCATACGTCAAATGTTTTAAGCAACACAGGTGTTGTGACATAGTCCGGCGTGCGCGCGCGTCGACGCGCGCGCGTGGATGTCGTTCTCTTGTTGCGCAGGGATTTTCCCAACCATCCTGTGATGCTGGGTCGTCGTCTTGAACAGACGGTCCCCGCGTTCTCCTCCTCCTTGTTCCCTCCTCCTACCCCCATCCCTCCTTCCCCTTTCATCCTCCCTGCGTTTCACCCACCCAGTACAGCGCGTCGTGGTCCCACTGGGAGCTCCACCGAAGGCCCCAATGGCAGGGTTCGCATGGTGGCCGCGCATTTTGGCGGACTCCTCACACGGCTCGTGGCCCCATAGGGAACTCCACCGAAGGCCTCAGTGGCAGGATTCGCATGGCGGCCCCGTGCCATTTTGGCGCACCCCTCACACGGTTCGTGGCCCCATAGGGGGCTCCACCGAAGGCCCCAGTGGCACGGTTCGCATGGCGGCCCCGCACCATTTTGGCGCACCCATCACACGGTTCGTGGCCCCGCAGGGGTTCCACGGAGAGCCCCAGTGGCAGGGTTCGCATGGCGACCGCGCCCCATTTGGTTGATTCTTCACACGGTTCGTGGCCCCATAGGGGAGTTCCACCGAAGGCCCCAGTGGCAGGGTTCGCATGGCGGCCGCTCCCAAATTTGGCGCACCTTTCACACGGCTCGTGGCCCCATAGCCCACAGGGAACGCCACCGAAGGCCCCAGTGGCAGGGTTCGCATGGCGGCCCCGCCCCATTTGGGCGCATCCCTCACACGGTTCGTGGCCCCACTGGGAGCTCCACGGTTCGATGTGGACCGCTGCCCGCATGGCGTCATTGTGCACCTTGGCGCGGCTGATGCGATCCGAATTTTTGACTTGGTGGTGACTGCTCCTGCGATACCGTGGCCTGCCGAGGACCTGGTGGTGCTGAAGGCGGCCGGGAGACCAAGACGTCGGAGGGTGTCGCCCAGCTTCTCGGGGAGGACGACCAGCAGCAGCTGCCACGTTGCATCTTCGGGGGGCCCTGTCTGTCCTGCAAGTTGCCGTCTCTTCTCGTATACCACATGGGGGCCCGACACGGATTCGACGTGGATTCGATGTGGATTCGATGCGGATGCAATCTTCGACGTGCGTTGGACGCCGGGTCGACGCGGACAGCGGCGCGATTGGACAGAGTGGCCCCCCGCAGATGCAGCCCAGCAGTTTCGGGAGCGGGGGGGCCGCGTGAGGAGCAGGAACCCCGGGGGGGGGGGGGGAGGGCGAAATTGTCACGAGGAGAGTTCGGGGCGAAGTCCAGCAGCAGTTCGCTCTCCTCCCTAGTTTCCTGCCGCTCCACCATAGCATGACACGATGTTGCAGGCAGCGCGCTTCTTCCAACATTTTGTTTCGAGAACTGGTGCCATGGTGTGTGCACGTCAAGAGTGTTGGCCGTCGCCGAGGGGTCAGAAAGCTGCACGCCCTGGGTTGCGTTTTGAGTGGCCCAACGTTGTTGCGCTGGTGCTTGTGCCGTGAAGAAACATGCTGACCGGGATTCGTTGTTTCGACCGAAAACGATGCATGGTCACACACACACATGCACTTTCGGAGGTCCGTGCGGACCTCCCATAATGTTTGCGTTTTTCTTTGTTTCATTGAGCGCCTCTGAGGGGGCAGACCCTGCCGCTGCACTTTTTGTTGGAGGCCAGAGTTTCCTTCCGGGGCGGTCCAGTTCGGCCCCAGAGAGTCCAAGAAGACGCGGAGAAGAGCCCAAGAAGATCCCCAGAGGGCCCCAAGAGGGCCCGAAACGGGCGAAACGAGCACCCAAAGGTGTCGAAAACGGCGGAGGAAACCGAAGAGGGGTACAGAGAGGCAGAAAGGAGCATCGCCAGTTCGTTTTGGGGCTTCAGAAGGGCATCCAAGGATCCCCTGGGCGCGCCCAAGACAGCTCACGACAGCACCAAAAAGGAGTCCAGACGGGCGTAGAGGACCCCGGAAGGTTGTTAGGGCGGCCGCAGAGAGCATCCGCAGGTTTCAAGATGGCCGCAAGAGCCCGCGGAGATACACGGGAGCTCCAAGAGAGGCGCCAGGAACAGCCCGATAAGGACAGAATCCTCAGAATCCGATGTGTGTTTACAATGCTTTCTGCTTGTTGGGGGTTTCTGGTGCATGAGACTCGAGGTGGAGAGGCATCCAGGACGGCCGTTGGTTGCCCGAAAGGCGGTCAAGATCAGCCCAGAAAGAGCCCCGAGAGACCCCCTAAACCGGCCCAGTAGACTCCCGGAGAGGTGTCTGAGAGTGGCGCTGGGAAGCCGAGCACGTGAAAGGGGGGTCGTTTTGGGACGGAAGTGGTGGCAAGAAGGCGTCCCAGCCGCAGTCTGGGCACCCGGGCCAGCAGAATGAGCAGGTCGCGGGGAGGACCCCAGGAGGGGTTGCCAGGGCTTTGAGGAAGGGCATGGGTACGAGGAATGCGTGGGCAAGGGACTGAGGGGAAAGAACTCGTGATAACCATGCGGCGGGGATCTCACACGGCGTACCCAGTGGGGCGGCGGATCGCGTCGCTCACTCCGCCGGCCCATATTGTCGCAGAAGGTGACGATGGGGGGAAGAAGGAGGCCTGTCGATGGGTTCTTGGGAAACTTTTCAGACGAAACTGGGTCGTCGACAAGACGGGTCTCCAGGAGACGTCGTGGGGTTTCTTGGGAGGCCTCTTGGGAGCCTCTTGGGAGCTTCTTTGGCTAGTACTGTTGAGCTTCTGGGAGCTTCTTGGGGCCCTGCTGGCGGTCTCGTGAGGGATCTCACAGGAAACAGCCAGACATGGCAGCTCGGAGTACCGCTCTTGGGGTCTTCTGGGGACCTCTGGAGCCGTCTTGAGGGGCCTTTTGGACTGTCTTTCAGCGCTCTGGGGCCGTCTTGGGCTCATCTTTGGGCATCTTGGGCCGTTTTGGGGTGATTTTGAGTGTCTCCTGGACATGTTTAAACGTTGTGAAGCCTCAAAGTCGCTTATGCGAAAAGTGCACGTTTCCCTCAAGGAGTATGGGACGATGTGTGCTTCTTGGGGCCCTCTTGGATGGCCTCTTGAGGCTCTCTCGGGGCTTCTTGGCGGCCTCTAGGGCTGTCTGGAGGTCATCTTGGGCGTCTGGGAAGGATCTTTCGGCGACTCGGGGCCTTTTGAACCATCTGGGGTGCGTTTGGTGCGCTCTGGGGGACCTTGCCGAGAGTCCGGGGTACTGCTAGTTCTGGGGCTCCCAGGGGCTGCCACGCGCGCGCGGTGCATCTGGAGGTCTTAGCACGCCCCTGGCCCGTTGGGCCAGCGAATTTGTCAGTGCTGTCAGTGGCGATGCGGACGGGCGTTGTCCATCCGGGACCGACGTTGCCCGCCCATCAGCGGACCTTTCTGGTTTGGGACACCTGTCGTTGCTGGGCATCGTCACCATTATTGTAGAGGTCTCTGGCCTGTGCCGCCGATCCGCGGCGCTCCAGGACACTCCGTGCGAACTCGTCGTTCTGTTTGATGGTTTGTGAGCTTTTCCTCGAGGGGGCAGGAGGGAGGATGAGGAGGGAGGAGGAGGAGGAGGAAGGAGGAGGAGGAGGAGAAGCGGGACAAGGAAGCGGGACAAGGAAGAGGCGGAGGAGGAGGGGAAGGAGGGTTGAATGGAATGTTTGCTCGGCCGGGGGCTGGGACCAGGGCCGAGGCCGGGCCGGCGGGGCCGGCGGGGCCGGGGCTGGGGCGGGGCCGAGGCCGGGGCTGGGGCCGGGGCCAGGGCTCCTGGGCCCAACGATCCACCAACGTTTTGCTTTCACTGAGGTGCCCAAGGAGGAGGAGGCGGAGGAGGAGGATCAACAGCAACACAGCAACAGCAGGACTTGATCTCTCCACGATATTTTTCTGCACCCGTAACTGTTCTGCACTCAGACCGTCAGTAGTCAGTATGGCTCAGAAGAGTCCCGCAGGGGACGACACGTGAGCCCGACAGTGACAAGGAACAGAACTGTATCAAAGTGCTTTCATTTTCCAGCTTGATTGTCCTGACTTGATTGGTGTTCTGCTCAGCTCTGGTTGACCCAAAAGGGGGTCCAGCGACAAAGGGGGTGGTGCAATAGATTTGGTGCAATACCTGTGTGGGGGTGCAATGCATTCGGGGCGTGCAATACACTCCAGGGCGCAAATGTATTGCTGGATTTTCGCGTGCAATGCATTAGTTGCAATACAATGCAATACAATTCTCCGGCGCAATACATTTGCAATACAATTGCCCCAAATCTATCGCACCACCCCCTTGCAGCTGGACCCCCTTCTGGGTCACCCAAAATGCTCGCCGCCTGCGAGGTGGACCTTCCTCAGGTCCGCTGCGTGCTTCACTTCGAGGTGCCCCGCCGCGAGCTGAGCCTCTACGGACTGCGGCTCATGTGCCTGGAGCTCGAGGGATCGAGAACGACGCTAGCACCGCCGGCAGTCGAATAACCAACCACGTACGCATAAATGTTCGAAGGCCCGTGCGGATTTCTTGGATCTTCGCTGGACCCCTCCCCTGCCGGCGCCCCTAAAAGGGGGTTCAGCGCCAATCCAATAAATCCGCTCGACCAAGCGAAGGCAGGCTATGCGTCTGCAGCACAACGCTCAGAAGCAGCGACGCCACGCCACCTCAACGGAGGTCTCTGGAGGTCTCTGGAGATCCTTGGCCCCTGGAGCCTCCTCGGGGGCCCGATGACAGCCAGAAGCATGCAGAACGTCGATCCCGTATTTGGTATCGATTCGGCTCGACCTCGATTCGATTTGATGCATCCATGCTCAAATTCGACCCGATCGATCCGACTCGACATCGATTCCAGCTGACCTGATTCGATCCGATCCGATCCGATTCTGACGATCCGATGCAGCCCGACATTTGAACGGGTGGTGCTGTGCATCTTGGCGCGGCCGATCCGATTCCGAATCCGTGCCGATGCGGCCCGATCCGACGCACGTTCCAATCCAATCCAATTTCCTGATTCGATCTCTCGATCCCATCCGACGTCGGTCCCCTCTGACGTCGATCCCCTCCCACGTCGTGGTTCCCATGAGGTCTCGACCCATTCCCAGCGACCGGTTTTTCATCCTGATTAGTGTTAAACAGTCCCAGGTGCCAGCGAGGGCTTTCAGGGGCAGAAAATGGCCCAAAGCCTTCCGCCGCGATTTTTCACGATGCGAGGAGGACTGGGAGGGCCCTCCGCTTCCCCTTTTGACCGTAAGCCGCAGCGGTATCGGTGCCGTCCTCTCCTCCTCCGCCGTCCCAGGGTCAAGGGAGGCAAAACCGCCCCGACCTTCTTTTGTTGTGGCGTCTATTTTGAACAGTCCCAGGCGTTTGCGGAACAGTTCTGCCCTGTTCGGGCGGTGCCGGAACGCTCGCAGAGCGCTCCGGAATGCTTTGAGAAGGCCGCGGCGCCTTGGCGCCCGACACATCCTCAGAGAGGGTCCTTCCTCCGTATCCCTAAGGGTCCTCCTCCCTAAGGGTCTTCCTTGAGGGTCCTCCGCCCTGTGGGTCCTCCTCGCTGAGGGTCCTCCGTATATGTCATCGTTCCGAAGCGTTCTCTTCCCTGAGGGACCTCCCGAAGGGTCCTCCGCCGGGTCGCCCGGTCTCAAAGATATCCGATTCATCCCTGTCCGATGTTGTCCCTGTCTTGGTTTCGTATTACCTGTTCGATTCCTCCCCAAGGTGCGTTTGCTATGGAGGGCCTCGCTTGTGATGGTGCTTATCTGCAGGGTGCTGCTTCTGCCCTCCACAGGAGCAGGGCGGCGAGGGGCGCGGGTCCCGGCACAAGGGCGGCACCGTCTCCGTTCTCTTCGTCGAGGAGACCGCCCTTTGTCGCAGGCGAGTTCTCGCCCCCACTGCCCGAGTTCCACCCGAAAGTTTATAGCGCTATTCAATGGGAGTAACTCGGGGATCCACGCCCAGGGGTCTATACGGAACGCACCCCCGTCGTATATCCTCAAGTTTGGCTCCAAATTGTTGCTCCCTTCGAAAGCCTGGCAAAGTCGGAAATTGCGTTCGCCTGGCAAAGTCGGAAATTGCGTTCGGAAGAACGCGACCCATTTCGACAACACGGTCAGAGGGGAACCAGTAATGACACAGGACTGGACATGCAAATGGACGGTTTGGAAAACGGGAAGCGCACAATGCGTTGCAGCGGGGCGCGATTTCGAAGGACCGAAACCGCGGAAATGAGACCAGCGCTGCAGTGGGAGTGCGATTTTGAAGGATTGCAAGCGCGGAGCCGAAGCCAACGCTGCAGCAGGAGCACGATTTGGAAGAACCGAAGCAATGAAATGAGGTCAGCGCTAGACAAGGACAATGAAGCCAACGCTGTAGCGGGAACGCCATTCTGAAACGATTGAAGATGTTCGCAATTGGCAAAATATGGATTCATTATCAATTCTACGGCATCCTGTGTTCAAAAACCATACGCGCAGGAGGTGAGGACATCTCACCTGCGTCTTCGTTGGAGAGAGGAGAGTAGTATTCTTTGTGTATAATTGTGGAGGGAGGAGAGAAGGAGGAGGGACAGGCGGATGAGGAAGATGAGGAAGGTGAGGAGGAAGAGGAGGAGGAGGAGGGCGAGGAGGAGGAGGAGGAGGAAGGCGAGGTCGAGCAGACAGGCCAGAGGCCTCATGGATGCCTCCCGGAGTCTTTTCGGATTTCTTTCGAGAGTTTCTTAGTGTTCTATTTGGGCGTCTTGTGGGTATGTTGGCAGTCCCGGCGGCCTCTTGAGGCGTCTGAGGTGCCTTTGGGGTGCCTTTTGGGGCGTCATGGGGGTACCCTGGGATTTTGGGAGCATGTTGAGGACATCGTGGGGGCCTCTTTGAGCCTCATGGGCACCTCTTGGGACCTTCTTGGGGCACCCTTGGGAGCCTCAGGGGCCATCTTGGGAACATATTGGAAGAGATCGATCAAAGGAGGGGGGCTCCTTACTTGAGGCCCTCCACCAGGACCCCTGAATGCTAGCAAAGCCTTAGTCGAATCAGGGATTAGGTTTTCTCGTTACGTCCGCTTGGGGCGTCGTGGGTGCCTCTGAGGGGGCCTCTTGGAGCCTCCTGGCCACCTCTTGGGGCCATCTTGGGGCACCCTTGGGAACCTCGGGGGCATCTTGGGGCCATCTTGGAGGAGGCCGATCAAAAAAACAGGCTTCCTCAATTACCTCCCCCCACGAGGCCAACATGTGGCCAAAACCTCAGTAACATCAGTGACTTTGGCTCTTGACTGAGGCCATCTTGGACGCCCAAACCTCTCGCGAAAGGCACCGTAGAGACCCAGGGAGGGGGCAGGGGAAAAGGTAAAACCCTTCCACGAAGGGGAAGAGGGATGATGGAAGAGGAAACTCGCTGAGCCACTCACGTCCAGAGGGCTGGTGGGATTCACGCCCTCCTTCCTCATAGGAAAATATTGCGCGGGGCTGGGGATCTGGTTTGGCACTGTGTGTGTTTGTGTTTATGTGCGTGCCTTGTGCAGATCAGCAGCAGCTCGCTCATGTAGCTCAAGAGAATCACAATCCAGTTGCAGGGAGCCGTCGGAATCTAGATCGGCTTGCATCATCGCTCACAGCAGGGCTGCGCTGGCCAAAAAACAGAAATCCCGCGTTCCGTAGCCATTTTGGCTCAAGCCATTTGCGCTCAAGCCGCCGAGCAGCCCTCCGACTTAGAAGCGTGCGTCCGAGCCCGTTCCCGGCGTGCGCGCCGCCAGTTTCACCCGCAATTGGAGCGGGCGGAGCTTCCCGATGACTCAGGACACGGCCGAGACACGCCAGCTGATTTCGGGGAAGGGGGAGGAACACCCCGCGACCGAGCCCGACGGGGGCGAGCACCCCGCACGCTCGCGCGACTTTGCCAGCGCGATCGTCAACAACATCCGGCTGGTTCGGCAGGACTTCGAGCCGCAGCCCTTCCCCGACAGCTTCTTCAAGAGGCCCGTGGTGGTCGCCTTCGTCGTGCTATATGCGATCACTGGCGTCGGGGTCCCACTTTACCTGTTTCGCAGCCACTACGATGACCTGCGCGGCAGCGGGGATGCTCATTCGATCTTTGAGGATGATTGGCATAAGCATCGGGTCGCCAAGGCATACCTCTGCTTTATCCCAGCGACTCTGTTAGCCATCCCAGTGTTCTCGCCCGCACTGGCGACGGCGTCAGTTATGCCGTATTCGCTAATCGTAGTTTTCGCTGTCAAGGAGGCCGTCGATCAGGTGGCCAAAAACGACTTCAAGCATTTCTTGATTCGCGCGCTCAGCAATCTCCTCGCCACCCTTTGTGCCCTGTCATATCTGCGCTTCATGGATTACCTGGATCACATCGTCCACCAGATTATGGTGTGCGAGCATTCTCTTCTTGAGGAAAAGCCGGTCAAGAAGACGAAGGGTATCCTCCACAGCGTTGGCCTTACCCGTACTGGCAACCCCACGGCGGACAAGTTCATGGCAGTGAGCACACATAATCGTGGCATCGCAGACGTGGTCTATGAGAAAGTCTGGCACCCGCTCAGGATCGGCTCCAATCTTGTTGTGGTCATTTCTTACATATCCTACACCCTCGTCTCCGAGTATGCGGGTGCGGTGCTGGTGGGCGGATTCGTGTACTACTTCGCGGCTGCGGCGTTATTAGGTTGCAAATTCTGGGATCAAGCCGTAACGCTGATCAAGATTTGGACGCACAAGCCCTTCTTCGTCGGAGACTTGGTGACCATACAACGGATGGGCCGCGGCGCAGACACTGGCATCGATGGCTTCGTTGAGCACGTCACACTCAGCTATGTGCTGATTAGGACGTTCGACTATAAGCAGACATACCTGCCACTCTGCGAACTGCTGGATTCCATGATCCAGAAGTGGTCCCGGCGGTCGACTAAGCCGTTGCTGATGAATTTCACGGCCAGCCCATCTTCGAACCCAGAGAAAGTCAACGAGCTCGTCAGTTTCGCCAAGCGCTGGATCGACGAAAGCCAGCATGTCCTCCAGAGTGGGTACAAGAAGTGCTGTTTGAGCGGCTTTTCGCATGGCTTCGAAATCAAAGTCATCTGTTCACCTGGTATCGGCAAGAAGAAGAGAGAGCTTAAGCAATCATTCATCTTAGCAGTCACAGCGCAGGCGGAGAAGCTAAAGGTGACCCTTGCCTCCGAGGACGCGGCCTCCGTGTTTTTGCCAGACGAGATGATTTCAAACAAGTCGAGGTGAGTTTCGGCCAGAAGCCGTGGACTGAGTTCGAAGAGTACAGAGTTACTCCAATTAAATTTGCAGCGCGCAGGTAGCCGGAAGCGGAAGGAACACCATATTTAGCTCAGGCGGGGCTTCTTATACGTGGGCCTCGTTCTGAGGCGACCTTCAAGGGGGATGATGGTGAATTGTTCTCTAACCAGTGCTTGCACTTAGGGATTCCTACCTTACTTGTGTAGACTACGCCTCCACCGTGCATGACTTAGTGTTTGGGGTCACTGTCGGCTGAAATGCTTCAACTCAATAGGCACCGTTTCTTGGTAAGTCCAGGGCTGCACAGGCTCCACTGCAGTTAATTCAGGCGTGGCGCATCACGAACTGACTTTGAATGCTTGCTACAGGCAGGTCTTTCTGCATCAGCGTCGTTCTCGTGACGTTCACCCTCCACCTGATTTTCCTCCTCTGGCACATCCTCGCCCTCCAACTCGTGACGCGCCGTTTTCTCTTCCAGCTTGTGTTGTACCGTCGCCACAGAGGGAGTTCACGAGCAGTTTTCCATTTGAGAAAGGTGGAACGGTTGTCTGAGCCATTCGGACCTAGATTTTTTCAGAGCCGATGCAGCACCCGCGAATTCCGCTTGACTTTGACTGCGCAGATGGAACATCGCACAGCTGGCACCATTGAACACAATAGTGCGCTCAATAGATGTTGCTTTCATTTAGAGGCTTGAGCAGCCTCTCAGACACGACCTGCTTTCGGATCCAATCACGACTCCAAAGCTTTCGGAGTCGATCGGCGATAGGCGCCCGAATCAGCAGAATACGCGTAGCTTTTGCGCCTGCAGCGCGCTGAAGGGAGACCAAGAATGGTGAAAGCGGCCTTCCTGTGATTCGAAGAGAAAAAATCCCGCGCGCAAGTTTTGCAAGAGCCCACCTCGTCGACATACCCAGAACGGCAGGGCCCCTCTTCCTCATTGTCTTCCCCCCCCCCCCCCCCCCCCCCCCCCCCCGCAAGATCCCCATCTCCAGCTCCTGTCTCTCGTCCCGCATCTGCCCGCCCTGGCCCCAGAGATATTCCCGATCTTGGTTAGCGTAGGCGCGACCGAGCATCCCCCTCAGTCCAAGTGCGCGTTTCCTCGGTGCCCCCCCGTGGCTTTCGAGGGACAACCTCCACCAGAGACATGCCCAATGTTCACCACAGGTTGACGAGCGCCGAGGATACCAGTCACATGAGCCATCTCTGGTTGACCTGCGCGCGTTGTGGGCGACTGGAGAACAACGATCGTTTAGTTGAGTGCGGCCAGGGGTGCGCATGTGGCAAGAATGCTGGGAATAACCAGTCGACCAAGGACGCCCAGCCGAAGAGCATCCTTCGGAAAAGTATAGTTCGTTGCCGGCGGCGGCGCGGGAGGAGGCAGCCGCTTGTCCACGCCAGCTAAGTCGCGCAGGGGATCGGTTGGTCAGTCCTGTGCCTGCGACGAGGCGGAGCTTTTGGCTGGGGACCGCAGGTCCCATTGGTGCAGCTTGCAAGTTCCAGCCACGAATGCGCCCTGAATTTCCCCTGGGTTTGGTGTCGTCGCTGGGCAATGCGCGTGGTTTGCATGGGCGACGGGGCGTTTGGTTTGCAGGCGCAGCTAGCCAGGACTATATGCTTTCGCTGTTGCCGAGACTCACGTCTCGCAGCTGAATGCGCCTGCTTGACAGCAGACGGCTCGGAGAGCCAATCGTCGCATCGCCGCGAATCCGACGGGAAAGACAAGTCGTGCATTCATTGCTCAAGGAAAAAAGGGGCGCCGACGGGGGGCGAGTGGATTTTGATGCCTGGACGCAGGCAAGGCCGCTCGTACCCTCGTCAGCTCGATGGGTCTTCGGAATTCCAGTATGTTGGTCAATGTGCTGTTGGCGGATATGCTGCAGCTCGCAGTCACGTGTCTGGGCGCTTGTTTTTCTCATCGTTTTATCGTACTTGTCCCGTGGGCGCGGCGGGCCGCAATCTCGAGCTGTTCGCCGGGTTCGTGGCCGTTGTAGCTCCCGCCGGGCCCCTGGGGGCCTTCGCGGGGGATAGCAGAACAAAGTTCTCTCGGAGCATCGGGTTTCGATGGCGCGGTTCGCGGGGGGCGCGTGGTCGCCACCGCAAAATGCGTTTGCGACGCTGGCACGTCGTGGTCTACCATTCATTTCGTTGGCAGAAGTTTCGCGGCTGCCCCGCATTCGCATTCCGCGGAAACCGATTGTCCAGGCCCCGCGGAACAAACACGCGCGCACGCACGCGCGCACGCGCGCGCGCACGCGCGCACGCAAGCACGCACGCACGCACGCGCGCACACACAGACAGACAGACACAGACAGACAGACAGACAGACAGACAGACAGACAGACAGACAGACGGACAGACAGACAGACAGACAGACAGACAGACACACACACACACACACACACCGTGGTCTGCGTTTGCGCAGGGCATCCCTGGGCAGGCAGCTTGCCTGGCTCGATCGTGTTGCGCGCGCCAAGTTTCCGCAAGTTTCGCGTCCGATTAAAACTCCAACGACTGCGCCCATGCCCCGCGCGGCCAATGTTCGGAGAGCGGAGAAGCTCGCCGCTGCAGCCGAGCGTCGGGGCCAGTGCTTTTGAAATTTGGTCGACGGCGCTTGGTCCAAGGAGGGCCAGGCTTGCCGAGAGGCTTGGGCGGCCAGTGCCCCAGCCGACTTCGCTTTCTGATCCGACGCAGGCTCTGAGGAGGATCTGCGTGCGTCGTATTTCAATGTTTGCATTGGCCAAGGACTTGGGGTCGCCCGGGGGATCCGACGGGCGCGCCAGGGCCCCCGGTACTTGGCCCCGCGCCATCCCGATGACATTGGGCATGGTCGAGGTGGCCCCGCGAGCCTATCGCGGGGCGTCTCCGTCACCGTCCGCAGCGCGCTCCACCTGCTGCAGCAGGGCTGATTTCTGATGATCGCGCCGCGTCGCCCACGAGCCCTGCAGACGGCCCCCCCGCCGCCCATTTGGAGCCGCCCCCCCCCGTTCCAGGTGCAGTCTGGGATTCTGCTGGATCTGAAATGCAGCGTCGCATGCCGGATGACACGTGAGCGACCGCTCGCGTTCTGACAGGCTCCGCGCCACCGCCGTCTCCTGCCCCCGCCTCCGCAGCCGCCGCGGCTGCCGTGCTCGGGCCCGCGCGTGTGGGCCCCGCTTCAGCCCTTGATGCGACGTGGGGTGAGACGTCCGGGGCGGCGGCATGCGACCGTCGCCAGCGTGGGCCGTTGGCGGGGGCCTCCAGAGCCCAGGGTCGCGAGTTCGTGGTCCAGGAGGTCCGATCACCTGGCGCATTGGGGCAAGTTCAGTTGGCCAATGTTTGGGCTTCCTGGCGGGAAAAGCCATCGGTCGCTCTGGTTGTCGCCCAGTGCTGTCGCGCCAGGGGCAACGGGGCAGCGCGGCGTGAACGACTGGGAGCTGCCCGTCGGCGCGCAATTGGAGAGTCACCCGACCGTGCTACGCCAGGCAATATCTATCTATCTGTTGATCGATCCATCAATATATCTGCGCGCGCGGGGGGCGGTCGGGGGCGGGGGGGGGGCGATGCCTTGGCCGCCCCAGGTGCGTCTGGCCATCGGCGGGCCCTTGCCGTGGAAATCAGCGACGCAGCCATCGGAGCACTTTCCACGTTCGCGCGCGTCTGGTCCAAGGCCAGGGAAGCAATCCTGGAATTCGGGCAGCGAGCCCTGCTGGGATGCGGCTGTCGAAGGGATCGGTGCTTTCCAGGATGTCCCCCGTGTTCTTGTGGGCAAAATTTCGAGAGCTTCGGGAATTGCGCCAGGGAGAGGTCACTCGATGTGGAAGGAATGCGTGATCCTATCGGCGTGGCGGCCCCTATCCGTCGTGCGCTCAGAGCAAAGATCCCGTCGGCGCTACGGGCCTTCGAACTCCTGCTGCGCGTGGCCCCGTGCACTTTAGGACATGGCGCGCCGTGCGCGGAGCCTCCCTGTCCCGCTGGGCCCATCATCCGGGGTGTCCGTTCAGTGACTATATAGTCGATTTCGTCCTACCGCAAGTCGCATCAGTGCATCGGGGCCGCTTGGCACTTGTCAGGGTTGATAACCTCTCCCAACGCACGGCGGGCGCCAGCGCGACGATCAGGGGGCAGTTGTCTGAAGGATTTTTGAAGACGTGCCGAGGGCTCAGGAGTTGACGACTCCGCGAGCACTCGGCGACAGAACCTGTGCTCGCGCATGCCCGGCGCCAGGATCACAGCCGGTCAAGGGTCGCAGTGGCCTGAAAAGGGCGCTGAGGGGCGGCGCTGGGCGGGAGTCGACGGCGCGCTAGAGCTAGAGCAACCCTACCTAAGAGAGCGGCCACAGGAGCTGGCAGCGCAGTCTCGAGCCCTCGCTCAGCACGAGCGCGCCGTTGACATTTGGCGATGGCCAAGCTCGAAAGCGCAGGCGCGCTGGCCGCTCAATTGCACGCGCGCGAAATTTATTTGAGCTTCTGGTTGTGCCATGGTCCGCTGCCGCAGTTCATGGCCCGGGTAAACGTGGGCGCTGTCTCGCGACATTTTCTGGGCTCGTTTGGAATTCGAGATGCGGCAGTGGATTTCCCCCCGCAGAGTCGACCAGGCACTCGCGGCGCCTGGCCTGTTTCTTTTCAGAGTTTTGAACGAGGCCACGCAAAAAGGTGCTCGGTCTCCTTCGGGTCTGCGACGCTGGTCAATTTGACAGAGTGGCACGGGCCGCACTTTTCCACCCCATCCCAGGCGATTCAGCAGTTGTTCGCTCTCCTCTTGGGAAGGCGGCTCCATGTCGCGCGGGGATGGTTCATGAGACGCGCCTTATGATATTCCAGAAAGGAATCATGTTTGGTGCTGTCAGTTTGCGTTTTTCTCTTATTTTATTATTAAAACAATATGTTGAAATTCGTGGGCAGTCGAAGCAACGCACGTTTCCCCCCCATCGCGGAATATGTGTTGCATGAGCGGATGATGTTCGCCAGAGTTGTTCAGCAATGTTGAGAAGTTTCTCTTGCGCCGCCCAATCTTCCGGACCATTACGAGGGATTGTTCGTTTCTTGTCTTTTGTCCTCTTTATCCTCTTCTGATATCCCCTGTCCCTCTATTCCTAGCTCCTTCTGCACCTCCAAATATTATTCCTGCCTTGCCAACCATCCATCATGGTCCTCCCGCGCATATGGCTCTTACCCTTGTCCTGTTCCGCATCCCTTTCCTTACGCCGCTATCCTCAGCCAACCGATGGCGATTGTATCAAAGACATGCCAGCGCACTTATGAGATGCCAACACACTGCAAAGTCCACGCTTCTGTTCTCGATTTAGGCGTTTTGTTGTTCACGCCGCAAAATGTGTGGCAGGAATGGGGCTCGGACGCAGTTCCAGCGCGAACGGGCGAACTGTCGTTGTCGCTTCGGTGCCGAGCTTATTTTTCTGGATAATTGGACTCCCCGCTTGGATGTGGCGCGCATTGTCTGCACGCCAATTCGTCGCCGCGCGACGGGGTGAAATTGCCGTTCTCGCGTCGGCGCCGCGCAGAGATCGCTTGAAACTGGCGTTCCCGCCCCAGCGCGGCGGTCATTTGTCATTCGCCAAGTCGTGGCGCCCCGCGCAAACGGGCGACTTGTCATTTTCGCCGGATCCCCATATTTCGTTCGCCGAATCGCATTCAAGCTGCAGCGGCAGTGGGGCCGCGCGAAAGCGGGCGAAATGTTGTCTTCGCACAAACGCCGTGCCGTTTGCGAGTAAAAGTGGTAGTGTTGTTTCGGCGCGGTGCACGCTTCGTGCTCGCCGCGTTTAGTGGAAGTGTTGCTGCATATTGCGTCTTTTCGCCAAGTCGTCGAAAACATAACCGCGCGCGAGCGCCTTTCTTTCGCTAGGTGGCAACACCTTCCAATCGCAATACCACATTGCATCGCACTTCATTCTTCTGTTATGAGAGAGGCTGGGGATGCACAGGGCCCTCTGAGTCGTTCGACCTGGCGGTTACGATTCCTCCTCCGAATCCTTCTCCTCCATGCTTTCGGTTCCACCCTCGCCCATCCACTCTCGTTCCTCCCTTGCCCCATCCACACAATCGTGCTCTTCCCCCCTGTGCTCTTCTCCGAGGAGGCAGGGGTAGTGAGGGAGCTGGAGAAGACGTTCGGCGTTCAGATGCAGGAGGTGCCGACTGAGATGCTCGTGAGCGGTAGGTTGTGAAGCCGGTAGGTCTTTTGCGACCCGTGTTTTGGGTGGCCCACCCTGACTCAGCAGATCAGCGTTGTGCTTGTGGCAGGGTCCATTTCGACACAGTCGATCCCATTCGGTGCCAGTTCCGACTCGATCCGAGGCAGCCCGATGCTCGCATGGCGTTGTTGTGCACCCTGGCGAAACCGATCTGGTCCGATTCCGACTCCGTGCCAATGCGGCCCGATCCGACGTACATTCCGACTCGATCCGATTGCGCGATTCGATGTTGATTGATTATGTCAGGTTCCCCGTGTGGAGCGGACGACACATTTCTGTCTGGAGAGGTCCGATACGTCACGGGGCTTCATGAGAGTCTGGCCCAAAACAGCCGAATCTTTATCATCCCTTCCTCGGCGTTTTTCAATATCATCATCATCGCCATTCTTCTCATTACCCGTCGGCAGCGTCGGCTCAAGAGGGAGCTCCGGCGCGCTCCGCTCCGGCGCGCCAGTCGCTTGGCTCGCGGGGGCGGGTAAACCGAGGCGTTTCCGGTTCCTGCGGTGGGTTTCCGTCGGGAAGGCATGCGGCACGGACGCGACGATGGCAAGTGCCAAGCACTGAACATAGATGGGGACGTCCGGCTTTCTCCCGACCCTGTGGCCCTCCTCCGGGCCTGTGGCCGAACACGCAGGAGGAGAAGGAGGCTCAGGAGGAGGAAGAGGACGAGGGGCCGCTGGTGGTGCAGCAGTCGAAGATGCAGCCCACGGCGCGCCGGCAGCCGAAGCAGCTTCCGTGCCACCGCCGCCGCAGCCAATCCCACGCCCAGCACTTCTGCACAGTGCCGGGATGCGTGGCGTCGAGAGGCGGCCGACGGCCCGCATGGCGGCTCTTCCAGGGACTGAGGGCGCACGTCGACGCCCACCTCCTGGGCCAGCTCCCCGGGTTGCCCCCGCAGGTGTGGATGGACTCCCGTAACTTGGTGGCGTGCCGCCTGTGTGGCAGATCGTGCAGCACGCGATGCAACCAAGGCGTGCATCATCGGAACTGCCTGGTTCGGGAGCTGATGGCGGCGCCGGCCGTGCAGCAGCCAGAGATGCAAGAGGACGCTTCCGACGACCTGCCAACTCTAGAGGAGATCATGATGGCCCCGGTTTCCACGAGGGAGCTTATCGGGGACGGCCTTTTGCCCAGCGTGGAGCGGGAGTTCAACAAGTGCGGCGCCAATGTCCTCATGCACTCCTGGATGGACGCGTGGGATGTTGCAGGCCCCAGCGACGACACGCCGCAACACGCTCGAGCTCGACGAGCGTGGACCGAACGGTTGATGTTCCAGAAAACGGTCACGCCAGCGCTCCCAGGAGGGAAAGCGACAGAAAAACGGAACCAGAACCTTGTGGCTAACATGGTTGACCTTTGGGCCAACGGGGAGCGTCGGGCTGCGTGGGACGAAGTCCTAAAGCCCGCGCAGCGCCGGAACAGAACACAGAGTGGCCAGCCAGCGAACGAACATCAGCAACAATAACGAAGACAACAAGAGGTCATAGCCTTTGCACGCCAGGGCCTGCCTGGCAAAGCGTTGAATCACGCTTCGAGCAAAGGACTGGCTCCAGACTCACAGCAGACGGAGGATACAACGCGGTCCAAATTCCCGGCCACACCCCATGCTCAGCGCGACTCTCAACGTCCGCCTCCGCCGCCGGCCAACGAACCCACCGAGGAAGGAGTGGCGGCGGCAATCTGGAGCTTCAACAGAGGCACGGCGCCAGGGCCATCCAGTCGGCGCCCCGAGTTCTACAAGCAGGTGGCGGGGGAGAAGGGCGACAAACCGGGGTGCGCCATCCTCGCGGGCATTGGTAATCTACTTGCAGACAGACGGGCCCCGAAACAGCTGCGGCATTACCTCGGAGGCGCCAGGGGCACGGCTTCGCGGAAAACGGTCAGGGACGGCAGCGATGACGCCAGGCCAGTGTGTTCTGGCGAGGCCATCCGCAGAGTAGTATGCAAGGCGCTGCTGGCCACGGAGCTTGACGCATTCAGGGCTCATCTGCAGCCTCTCCAGCTGGCCGTGGGCGTCCGTGCCGGAGTGGAGGCGATACCGCACATGGCGCGGCAGTGGCGCGATCATTCCACCCCGGACGTGGACCGCATCATGCTGAACAGCGACCAGGCCAAGGCCCACAACGAGGTGGACAGACACAATTTCTTGACCAGAATGCGCGAAGTGGCTGCAGGTCTCGCGCGGTGGCTCGAGTACATCTACCCCGCGGAGACGCAGCGCTGATGTTCTACAGAGGGTGGGCCATCGACAGCGCCTCGGGGGGAGCAAGGCTGCCCGCTTATCGGGGCGTGCCACGCGCTGGTCCAGAGGATGCTGAACGAGTTGCTCGGGCCGGTGCCCGCCCCAGCCGGCGCGGCAGTGCAGGTTCCTGCGTTGAGCCCCCCAGTCGCCCTCGACATGGCCCCCGGCTTCGCCGATGACGCACTCATCGCCAGGCCTTCAGCAGAGGTGCTCCGAGCCCTCAAGCACTTTTTCGTTGTGATGCCAGCGACAGGTCTTCGCTTCTTCACCTCGCAGGTGACCCCAGCCGCCGGCGCACGCAGCACGGTTGATTTCGCAGGGTTCGGGGCCGTAGGATGCGACGTGCGAGGCGTTCAACTCCCCAGCGGGCGATGACGTGCACTGCCAGGCCTTCTGCGCGAAGCAGGTGCAGACGCAGCATGGCATCATCCAGTACCTGGCAGATTCTAGGGCCCGCAGCGGACCCGCAGCTGACGCGCTACTTGTTGGCGCACTGCGTGATAGCGGGCAGGATGAAATTACATGGCGCGCACCACGCCTGCGAGGCACCTGGGGGGCGAGGCGCGGCGCTACGACGATAGCGTGCTCGAGGCCGCAGCGGCCGCCGTGAACTGGCGCTGGTCTGACGGGCAGCGCGAGCAGACTTCCTTCGCGGCCTCGGCTGGCGGCCTCGGCCTGCGGGAGATCTCAGTCGAGATGGATGCGGCCTACGTTGGCTCGCGCGAGCTGACCCACGACCTGTGCACGATGATCCGGCCAGGGCATCAGCGGGGCGACGACGTCGCCGTCGGCCCGCTGGCGGACGCGATGTCCCATGGAGGGCGAAAGAGGGGGTCTGCAACAGGGGGTCTTCAATGGGGGCTGAATGGCCCATGTATGCTCAATGTATCGCTCATGTATGTGATCGGGTATGTTTGGCATCCAATGTTGGCGGTCATGGAGGGCCAGTCGTTCGTGCCCGCGCGTTGCCCGCGCGAGCAAACGCGCTGTCCATCCATTGTCGTTCATGCGCGCGGGCGTTCTTGCGTATCACGCGTGGGGCGGCGAAGTGGAGTGCAAGTGTGTCTTGATTGTGCTATTGATCAGCGTATATGTCCAAGCGATGGCTTGTCGACCCCCAAGACAGATGTGGAATGGGCCCCGCGATTCTCCCAACATGTGAATTCACATGTTCCTTTTTCTGAAACGTGAATTCAAATTTTCCTTTTTCCCCAAAAGTGAATCCACATTTCGGCCCCTTCGTGCAGATTCGTACACAAATTTCCAAAATGTGAATTCATATCTTCTTTTCTTTCTTTCAGAATGTGAAATCGCATTTTCCTTTTTCCCGAAATTTGATTTCACATGTGTTTTTTCCCCACAGTGTGAATGCACCTTTTGCCCTGGCCCTCGAGATACCGAAAATAGGACACAGTGTTCCGCATGTCAGATTGGCTGGGCAGATTTTGACACTCACGTCGCCGCGTTCGTTTATTCCTACCATTATTTATGCGCCTCCAGCGCACGTTGCCATCGCCGCCTTTCCCGAGCCCCCCGCCCCCTGCTCCGTTTACCCTCGAGTCTCGCGCATGTGCGCAGGCGGGGGGCTTCAATTGGAAGTCCCGCCGAAAGCGACAATCGAGGATGCCTCGCCCGTGCGTGGCCCATTGAGACACCATTGCGATCGAGTCACGGCAAGCCTTGACCCAAACGCACCTCGGGGACGCGCTTCGGAAGAAAACGGTGGCCGCTTGGAGAGACGCAGGGGCGCCGGCACACGAAACGCGGCTGAACGCGCACTCCGCGCAAGGATCGGGTGTTCTGTGCGAGCTCACCCCGCCCAAGACACTTGACATGCAGCTCGCTGCGAGCCAATTCGGCGACAGCGTCGCGCTCTGGCTCGGTGTCGATGTCATGGGGGCGGGGTCCACTTGTCCTCTGTGCGGGATTGCCTTGGATGCCCAGGGAATCCATTGCCTCTCCTGCGTGGGGGGCCCTGAACGCACGGGCGCGCACAGTGCCATCCGTGACGTGTTTTACGACTGCGCGCACCGAGGCGGGCTGCGACTGGACTCCGACGTCCCCGGTCTGCTCCGGGAAGGCCCAGGGGCGCCGCCAGACGAGCACAGGCCGGCCGACGTCCTCGTCATCCCGAATTTGGCTCTGGCGACACACCTCCCCGACGGCAGCCGGGTTGTCCGGGCGGAAAAGGTGTGCTTTGATTTTGCGGTCATCATCGCGCTGGGCCCGGTCCGCTGGGCGTACGCTGCGCTCGCCGCTGGGCCCCCGTCCGAGAGTTGCGACGAGCAGAAGCGCAGGCGGGGCCAGACCGAGGAGAGGCGCCGCACCCAGGGCCCGACTTTCCAGCCTGTCGCAGCAACGGTCGCTGGGAACGATGGGCTGGAGCACTCAACCGTTCGACGGGAGATGCCCCACCGCGTGGCGATCCTCCTCGCCCGCGGCTGCGCCGCGCGGGTAGAGCGCCGGCGGCCAGAGCCCGCACAGGGCGAGCTGCGTGGGCGGCGGCCGCGGCGAACGCCGCGCGCGAACCGGCGCAGGAAGACGGTAAATAATGCGCAACCGAACGCGCTCGCCCCCACGGGGGTGTAATCTCCCTCCCCTCCCCCCCCCTAGCCAGGCTGCTCCCGTCTGAAGGAAAGCCGGACTTTTTCGTGGCGCGTTGACGCTCGCGTTTGCCGTTCGGCCCGCTTCCTTTCTGGCCTGCTTTGGTCCTGGCCGTCGGCTCCCCCTCCTCCTCCTCCTCCTCCTCCTCCTCCTCCTCCTCCTCCTCCTCCTCCTCCTCCTCCTCCTCCTCCTCCTCCTCCTCCTCCTCCTCCCCCTCCCCATTTGTGTGTCCTCCTCTTGCCCTTGTGTTTCCTTGCCCCTGTGTGTGGCGTGCCCTCTCGTTCCCTCCTTCCCTTGCTTCCCCCCCCTGTCTCCCCGCCCCTCCGTCTGTCGGCCCTGTCTGTCTTTTCCTGTCGTTCTCCCGCCCTCCCCCTCCCTTGCGCGCTCCTCGGGCCCTCGCTGTCCTGCCTGCTCCTGTCCCTTGCCTTGCCCGCGTTTCTTTGTCGGCCCGTCCCGTCGTCGGAGTAAGAGATCCAGACGCCTGCGCTGCCACGCTGGCGGATGGCCGGGCGCGTTCAGCAATGTTTGCTTTTCTCAGGAGCTGACTGCGATGTTGCGCTCTCTCTCTCTCTCTTTCTCTCTCTTGGGGCCCTTCGGCGTCCCCATCAGCATCAGCATCAGCATCATCATCCCCGTCATCGTCGTCACCATCACCACTATCACCATCACCGTCGCTATCGCCATCGCATCATCACCCGCATCGTCATAGTCATGATCATCACCATCGTCATCATCACCAGCATCATTCCTACCATCAGCATCATCATCAGCATGCCCTCGTCACGAGCATCCGCATCATCATCACCATCCTCAGCATCACCATTCGTATCACCACCAACATCACCACCATCATACTCAGCATTATCATCATTATCCTCATCATTGTCACCCTCATCAACATCATCCGCATCATCAGCACTGCTCATCATCACTATCACCCTGACCATCATCACAAGCGTCAGCAACAGCATCAACAACATCATGTTCGTAATCATCGTTCGCATAGTCAACATCATCATCATAGCTATCCTCATCCGCATCATCCTCCTCACCAACATCACGATTGCCATCATCACCACCATCGTCATCGCCATCAGCATCAACACAGTATTCGTCGTCATCACCATCATCATCACCATCCTGATCCCGATCATCATCATCATCATCATCAGCATCATCACCACCATCATCATCAGCATCATCATCATCATCAGCAGCATCATCATTCCTCTCTTCGCTCTTCTCCTCCCCGTCGTCCACATCACCCTGCCGTTCGACCCGCCGGACGGCTCGCCCCCCCCTGCCGGTCTCTTCCCAAAGTTTTTTATCATTCGTGCCGTTTTTTGATGTTCCATGTTGTCGGCCCGCGCCGCGCCCGCCTCTCCGCACCGTCAGCGGGCGCGGCGCCCGATGCCTGGCTCCGACCCCTGCTGCCCGACTGGCGGCCTCCCGAAGCCCGGAGATCGCCTCGAAGAGCAGGACAACAGCGCCTCCTCCTCCCCGCAATCCCCCCGTCCGTCGCCCGCACTCCTCATCCTCCCTTCTCCTCATTTTCGCCCCTGCTCCTCCTTCCTGCCTCCGCCTTCTCGTCCTTCCTCTTCCGTCACCTTCTCCTCCCCCTCCTCCCTCCTCAGATCCTCCCTTCTCGGTTCTTCCTCCACCTCCTCCTCCTCCTCGTCCCGAGGTCCGCCTTCTCAGCCTCTGTCTCCGTGTCCGAAAAGGAATTAGGGCGCAGGAGAAGGAGGAGCAGGCGGAAACTGAGGCGGCGGATGTGGAGACGGAGGGCAATATAGAGTGGGAGGAGGAGGAGGAGGAGGACGACGAGGAGGAGGAGGAGGAGGACGAGGTGGAGAAGGAAGAGGAGGAGGAGGAGGAGGAGGAGGACACGGAGGATGTCGCCGTGGCTGGACCATCCCTTGTGCAAGCTTGGCGCTGGGTGGGGGTCGGTGGTGGTTGGGTGGTGGTGGTGGTTGTGAGCAGAGCTGCGGAGGAGGACCCTACCACCTGTCGAATAAGCACATCTTAGGCATAACCTGACGAAGGTCCGCGCAGATCTCTTGTGACGGGACCCCTGTGTGGCGCTTTCGGCACCACCTTTTGCGTGCGCCGCGCGGCGCCAGTGGAGGGATTTCAACGCCGATCCAGGAAATGCGCGCGGACCTCCGAAAGGGGATGCGTCTTCAGTTTGTTGTACTCTGTCGTTGACAGAGGAGGCAGGGGAAGAGTAGGAGGAGGAGGAGGAGGAGGAGGAGGAGCGTGGGAGATGTAGGGGTCTAGGCAAGGAGGAGAGGGAGTGTCAAACTGGCCTGGTGGAGCGAGACAGCGGGCCCCGCCCAATGCCACTCGCCTCAAAACAGAAGACGCCAGCGGTGGTGCAACTTGCTTGTGACTGGACCGCGTTTCCACCTGATGGACGAGATGCGCTAACGCGCGGACCCGCCTTCGCCAAGTGGCGAGTGGGAAAGACCCGGCCCGCGCACGGGCGGGAGTGCATTTTCAAAAATTGATTGCGCAGCGCACTGGCGAACGCATCATTTCGCTTTCTCCGGGGCGGACACGTGTTTGATGCGTGCGGCGAAAACGAATTTTGCGCCGCGCCGACATATCATTGCCGCATTAGCGCAACATCAACCCGGCGCTTGGGCGAGAACACTTGTTCGCGCGATCTTTCGCGGCCCGGTTGCCGCTTCCGACTTTTTGCAACCTGGCGAGCGAAGAACACGCGCCGCACCCAAGTGGGAATACAATTTCCAGGCGAGATCTGCATGCAGCATGGGCGAGGGCGACAATTCGTTCGCTCGCGCGAGGCCCCGTGTCCAACGACTTGGCAAGCGGAACACGCACGCCACGCCAAAGCAGGAACACGAGGAGCCGATGCGAGAGCGAGAGTTCGGGCGCGCGAGCGCCGCGCCCACGCGGGATCGCCACCTTCAGGTGAACTTCGCATGGAGCCCAAGTGAGGGCGACATTTCGCCCGCGCCCGCGCGTGACCCCGCCGTCGACGAATTGGCGAGCGAAATAATGCGAGCTTGATCCCCAGGAAAGTTTAGCGCGGCGCCCGGGCGAGAGCGACATTTCGCCCTTACGCGCGGGATGCACGTCCCGTTCCATTCGGGCCGCGCATTTTGTAACGTCGACGACGGCAAATCGTGCCGCAACGCCGCGCACGAATTTCCTACCTCCCACCTCTCGGGGACTGGGTGAGGAGTGGTGAGCGCGGCAGGAAGGCGGAGAGAGTGCGATGGGAGGCGGGGGAGGGGGGGCGCAAGGGGGGAGGGAGGCAGGAGGAGCAGGAGCAAAGAGGAGCAGGGGGCGGAGGAAGAGGTGGGGCCAGGAGCAGGAGCAGGCAGGTCGGAAGGCGGATGGAGCGGAAGGCGGATGCGGAGCGGAAGGAGGAGGAGGCGGCTGCGGCGAATCGGTAACGGGCCGAGTCGAGAGTGAGCTCCGACAACATACTGCGAGCAGGCCCCAGCGGCGGGAGCCCCGCGTTGCCCTCGCTCTACGAGGTACCAAAGTCGGCCAGCGAGAGTTCAGCACAAGAAGGGCTTCGAGAGGCCACCGACGGACCCCGAAGGGGTCCCTGAGAAGAACAAATAAACCACCTGGACGGTCTGTGGCACGCAGGGTTGACCAACTCCTTAAAGCTGTGCTGGCGTGGGACAGGCTGTGGGTAAGGACGAGTGGGAGACATCGGAGGCCGAGGACGAGAGGGGGGGATGGCAGCGGCAGCCGCGGCTCGGCACGATCGCGCATCGAAGCCGTCGCAAACCTGCTCCCTCTCACCGCTCATCAGGCATGGGGTCGAGGAAGACGACGCATGCTCCGGTGCACCACGCGAGCGATCATCTCCTCGAGTATCCGAGGGGCCACTAAGCATATCATACTGAAGATTTGAATGCCCATCACCATTCAAGACAGTCCAATGTACAGACGATGTTCTCAGGCTTCTCTCCTCTATATTGCCAGCAACACCAGCACGCATAGAGCCACTAGAAGCCTTCCCATGCCCTGAGTCTCTCAGTGCTCTTCGAAGTCGTCTATCGCCATCTGCAGACTGCGCTCTACATTCGAGCGGTGGGCGATCCCTGGGCGCCTCTCTCCGCCGAGTTGGACCACGCACTCGGAGAAGATGCGCGTGATCTCCACGTCCGCGAACGCAAGCACCATCTTGGCCATGCCCTCGTTGTACGCGTGGCTAACGCGGAAGCCGCAGACCAGGAAGTTCGTGTCCGTCATGCTCTGCATTTGATCGAAATTTGCTTTCTGCGTGTCCCACGCCCGCTTGTTTGCCATGCCGCTGCCTGCCTTCTCGCCAGCGTTCGCGATCTCCTCGCACACGATGAGAAAGATCTGGACGCATGCCGGCCCCACCTTCGCCTTTGGCACAGGCTGCTTCGGGTCTCGTTGATTCTTCTCTCGAGGCCCGGATGCCTCTGCCGCGTAGGCCCCCCGGCCTGGAACGCCGCCTTCACCAGCGACGATGCACTCTCGATCGTGATCGTTTCGAACTCCGCCGCCATGAGTTGCCTGATCTGGAACGCGTTGCCAAGCACCGCCTTCACGAGGACGGGCATGATCTTGGCCATGACGTTCTGCGAGATCATGGGGAGCCTGTCGATCGTGTCAGACTCGAGGCCGTAGGCGCGCCCGACGGTCTGCTTCAGGTCCTCCTGCCTGGAGCCTTCGTCGGTCGAAGCTGCTGTGGCCCACGCTGGTCGCTGTGGGGGCTGGCTGCCCATCCCGCCTCCGCCACGCCCGACACGACCACCACGAGTTCGGGAGGCAGCCGCTAAGCCAGAGCGGCCTCGTTGCTGTCGATCTCCATTTCCTCGAACGTTGGAGCGGCTCCTCTCGGCGTCGACCTGCTCGGGGCTGATGCGGAGCATTAGCGCCAGCGTGCACAGGAGACCGAAGGTTTTGGCAGCGCCGAATCATACACAAGTTCTCGGCTGGAAAATGCTTCTGAGTTTGAGCAGCAATAGGCAGCGTTGCGACCTCCGAATACCGCCGCCACCGTCAACGTCGAGATCGGGCAAACGAGATCCGAGGGCTTCTGCACCGCATGGGCATACGGTGTATTACGAGCCATGCAGGCAGCGCCCGCGCAGGACTGACGAGAACACGTGATCCTAGGCGATACGGCGAGTGCAGGAGGACTGACGGCAATAGACGCACTCATTGGTCACCGTGAACGTCTGGAGGTGCGATCTGCAAGTTCGCCTTCCTGCTGCCGGGAAACGTGTACCAGCAACGCCCTCCCGCGGAGCCCATGAGCTGACATGTCCAATACGCTTCCTGTGGATATGGGCTCGCTGAAGCTTGAGGAGCGCCAGGAGATCCCTCTCAGCCCAGGAGGGTGTGCAATCGCTGCGGTACGCGCAGCAGCCCGAAGGCCCAGGATCGATCCTCAAGAAGCGGTCCTGGATCTCAGCACTGTCTAAAAGTACAGCCGAATGTTGATCAGATATCGCACGTCCCCCTCAGAGCCCACGTAGAGGTCCTCAAGAAGCCCCTCCCCCTCCGCCCTCTCCATCAGCTTCGCGACATCGGCGGCGGACCTCGAGTCGCACGGGCTCGCGTCGGGCGCGAGGACGCGCGTGGACAGGATGGTGGGTCCTGGGTCGACTGGGCGCAGGCCGAATACAGCTCCCAATTCCATGGCGCGCCGACGCACCTGGAGCTCAATCTTGGGAGGGGCGGCGCCGACGCGCCGAAGCACGACCTCGTCCGAGCACGCCTTATACTTAATGGGAGGTCGATCGTGCTCGTCTCGAATCGGATTCCCCTGCTCAGCTACCACCCCCTGCTTCTGACGCGCATCGCATCCAAGAAGCTCACGAGCGAAACCCGCGAGCATTCGATAACATCGATTATCCTGCGCCTCCTCGAGCACCAGAGTGGACCGACCTGTTCGCAAAGCGCCCTGGACCACGGCCCCGAAGACTGACCTCATGAATCTCCAGACGTCGGTTCTTGCGCCAGAAACGACCCATGAAGTACCCTCGACGGCGAGCCAGACTGCGACGACGAAGCTCTCCCTGGGCCCCTTCGTCGACGGCAGACTGGAATCCCGAGAGCGACGTTGCCGCGTTGAACCTGGCCCCCCAGGACCACCCGACCCCCGAAGATGCAGGCGGCAGGTTGGTGACACCCTGGGCCCGCGAACGATGGGGTGACACACCTTGTGAGCGTGCCCGCTGCAGTCCAACCCCTGCCGCATCGAACGACGCCCATAGCTTAGCGCGTGCTGTGCATGCTTCGCCGACGAGACAGCGTGCGTCTTACTCGTGTCACGGGCGTAACTTCTACACGACAAATCCACTGGCCGCTGAAATAAAAGGTGTCCACGCCTTGCAAATCGCTTCACTCGGCCATATCACGCAGTCAGGGTCATCGGGAGGGGCGGATAGCCTTCGTCGCCACAGATGCCCACTCCTCACGCGTCTGAGGTCGGGCAGGCACAGGAACCTCACGCCGCGTGGCTCGACGGAGGCTGTCGAGCCGCCTCTGGATGGGCCCGCGGAAGGCATAGGGGAAACGCACGGCCGCGGGGTCGTCGCCCACGAGCGCTCCGCATTCATTGCCAAGTGTCTGTGCCCCGT